ATTTGTGTTGTTGTTGAATTCTAACTTTAAAGCATGGTGCTCTGATAAGATACAGGGGGGGATTATTCCAATGTTTTGTACCTGTTGAGGTTTGCTATGCTGCCAAGTATGTGGTTGATTTTAGAGAAGGTTCCATGTGGTGCTGAGAAGAAGGTATATTCTTTTGTGTTTGGATGGAATGTTTTATTGATGTCTGTTAAACCCTATTGGGTCATAACTTCTAATAGTTCCTTTGTTTCATTGTAAACTTTCTGTCTGGTGGTCCTGTCTAGTGGTGAGAGTGGGGTGTTGAAGTCCCCCACTATAAGTGTGTGAGGTTTTATGTGTGATTTAAATTTTAGTAATGTTTCTTTTACGAATATGGATGCCTTTGTATTTGGGGCATAGATGTTCAGAATTGAGACTTCATCTTGATGGATTTCTCCCGTGATGAATATGAAATGACCTCCTTATATCTTTTGTTTGATTTTATTTTAAAGTCTAATTTGTTAAATATTAGAATTGCTACATCAGCTTGTTTCTTGGGTTCATTTGAATAGAAGATGTTTCCCCAACCCTTAACTCTGAGGTACCTTCTGTCTTTGAAGTTGAGATGTGTATCTCTTTTGCTGCAGAAGGATTAATTCTGTCTTCATATCCATTCTGTTAGCCTGTGTTTTTTATAGGCAAGTTAAGACCATTAATATTGAGGGATATTAATGACCATTGATTGTTCATTATTGTTTGTTTTGGATTTATTGTTGGTGGTGGAATTGTGTGTGGATTCCTACCCTTTTTTTTTCTTTTGGCTGTTGGTAAAGTGGGATTATCTATTGCCTGTGTCTTACTGGTTGTAGTTAACTTCCTTGGGTTGGAGTTTTCCTTCCAGAACTTTCTGTGGGGCTGGATTAGTAGATATGTATTGTTTAAATCTGGTTTTGTCATGGAATATCCTGTTTTCTCCATCTATAGTGAGAGAAAGCTTTACTGGGTATTTCAGTCTGTGCTGGTATCAGTGGTCTCTTAGTGTTGGTAGAATATCTATCCAGGACCTTCTGGATCTGAGTTTCCATTGAGAAGTCAGGTGTAATTCTGATAGTTTTGCCTTTATATGTTACATAGCCTTTTTTCTTAGCTGTTCTTAATATTCTTTCTTTATTCTGTATGTTTGTGGTTCTGATTATTATGTGATGGTTTTTGATTATTATGTGGTGAGGGGACTTTTTGTGGTCCAGTCTATTTGGTGTTCTGTATGCTTCTTGTACTTCCATTCGCATGTCTTCCTTTAGGTTGGGAAAGTTTTCTTCTATGATTTTGTTGAATATGTTTTCTGCACCTTTGAGTTGGGTTTCTTCACCTTCTTATATACCTATTATTCTTAGGTTTGGTGTTTTCACAGTGTCTCATATTTCCTGGATATTTTGTGTCAAGGATTTGTTGGACTTAAGATTTTCTTTGGTCGATGAATCTATTTCTCCTAGTGTATCTTCAATGCCTGGGATTCTCTCTTCCATCTCTTGTATTCTGTTGGTTATGCTTGCATCTGTTGTTCCTGATCATTTATCCAGCTTTTTTATTTCCAACCTTCCCACAGTTTATGTTTTCTTTATTGTCTCCATTTCAGTTTCCAGGTCTTGTACTTTTGATTTTTTCTTTCATCTGTTTGATTGTTATTTTCTTGGCTTTCTTTAAGAGATTTGTTGATTTCTTATATTTTTGGTTTGTTTTTTCTTCCATTTCTTTAAGGGATTTTTCTCATATCCTCTTTGATGGCCTCTATCATTTTTATAAAGTTGTTTTTAAGGTAATTCTCTCTGGCGGTGTCATATTGGTTTTTCTGTTGTTGAATGCATTTTTATATTGTCTTCTTCCCATCCCTTCTTCCAGTGGGTGCAGGAGGAGTCATTTCCTCTCCTGGTGGGTACATGTCCAAGGTTCCCTTCTGGTGAGTGCAAGCAGGTCTAATCCTCTGATGGCTCTCCTCTTCACGTGGGTGGAGGTGGGAGTAGTACTGGGGCCTTGGCAGTCTCTGGGTGGGCTGGACTGCTGGGCTAGGATCCCCAGTGATCAGTCCCCAGGCCTCAAGCGGCTCTGAGCAGGGCACTGGAAGGCAGACTGGAAACAGGCTCATGCCTACCTCGTTCTGTGAGTAGGGAAAGGGACAAGGACGCTGGCAGTCTCTGGGTGTGCTGGAATGCTGGGCATTTTTTCTTTTTTAAACATTTAACTTTTTTATATTATAATTACAACATCCCCCCCATTTTCTCTTCCCGAACCCTCCCATATAGTCTTTCTTGCTCTCCTTCAAATTCATGGTCTTTTTCTCCACTGACTGTTGTTAAATGTGTGTGTGTGTGTGTGTGTGTGTGTGTGTGTGTGTGTGTATTCCTACATATAACCTACTCAGTCTATATACTTGTATGCATTTTCAGAGATGACTCTTTGACACTGGACAACATAACTGGCATGTTCTTCCCTGAGGAAGACTACCTTTCCCAATCCTAGTTTTCCTCTGTTGCCTATGGTACTTTGTGTAAGGTTGAGTCCTCATAAGCTTTCCCCCCTGTCCAATTTGACATGTCCATTGGTGATGTACTTGTTCAGCTCATGATTGTGCATTCATGTTTATGAGACTTTATAGGAGACAACATTATGGCAAATTCGCTGATCCTCTGAATTTTACTGTCTTTCCACTCCCTCTTCTGCAACATTCCTAGAGCCTTATGTAAAGAAGTGTTCTATAGATGTATCCATTGAAACTGGCCTGCACTACTCAGCATTTTGATTGGTTTGTGGTTGTCTGTAGTGGTCTCCATTTATTGTAAAGAGAAATTTCCTTGCTGAGGGGTGAAGACTACACTTATCCATGGATATAAGGACAAATGTTTAGATTGTTATGAGGAATTATACTGCCTTAGTAAAATAGTGGTTGTGGGTTCTCCTCCAGTATCCATGAGTTCACTAGCTCTGAGTGATTAGCTAGTTTTCCAGTACCAGACTTGGTTTCCATTGTGCTGAAAGGGTCTTAAGTCTAATTAGAGAGTTAGGGTTACTACCAAGGTAAGCATGCCTGGATACTCTTTTCATCCAGAACTGGAGCTTACATCTAGAGTGTTGACACAGACCTATAATCACAGCAACACCTGAGGCTGAAGCAAGAAGATCACAAAAACCCATGCCCATACAGCTACCATTATTTAGGGATAGTCCAGTGTCAGGATTATGTTAACCAAATGTAAGCAACTAACCTTGTGCACTGTATTACAACACAAACTCATTGCTAGGAACAGTCCACACAACTGCAATCACAAACCCCACAAATCATTTCTTTGGAACAATCCTGCCCAATCACATGCATATCTGAATGTACACACATGAATAGATGCATGCAATGCATGTGCATATATGCATGCAACAAACACATATGCACACCCACATACATGTGCACACTGTCCCATATATATTCACATGCACACATACACAAACCATTGCAACCTCTTTATTGCCTCATGTTCACTTTCTGACATTCTTTCCATAACATGACAAAAGACACCACAGCATAAAACCAGGGTTGGAGAGGTTAAAAGATATATAAGGACATCAGGGACCCACTGATCAGCATAGCTGTTCTGGCAACAGAACAGGGTCAATCATACTTATGTATTTGATAAAAGACACATCACAGGACTCAGTGTAGGGTTGTGTTCAGGCTACAGCCAATGTACTTAGATTTGGTAAAAGAAGAAAACTTAGACGTGGCTAAGGATAAGACCTGAAGGGTTGTATATAGGAAGAAACCACAATGGCTTCTAACTATGTGGGCCTGTTGAATTTTTGGTACCAATTTTTTTCCTCTGGGCATGAACAAGAGATGGGAAGTCTTGGATCTTGTCTGACCCTGGTCCAGTCAAGGAAGTGGGATACAGTATGTATGAATACAGGCCATATAGACTGCAGAGGGAGGAGACAGGGGAAACTCTTCCTTGGACAGGGTCACAATAAAGTCTACAGGTTTGTTGGTGACACTGAGCACCAAGGCCACCATAAAATCAAGAGAAGTTTACTATTTCATCCAGTATGAGGCCCATCCCATAGTCTTCTGTTCATCTTCTACAGGCTACCTCAAGATACTTACTTTCCTTGGAAACATACTTGACTTTGATGCCTCAAGGTCAAGGACTTCAGTTGGGTTGCTTCCTAGAATTTATCTTGACCTGTAGTGGGGGGCTTGTTTTTCTTGTAGGGGAGGTGAAGCCAATGAGTCAGTGAATTGGAATGACTCAAGTGAATTTTCCTATCACATAGTCCTGAATGTAATAGGTTAAAAGATTCAGTGAGCAAAATAAGGAATTGGTCATTCACAGTGCTGAGTAAAGTGCTTTATAGTTTGTCTCTCTGGTAGGACAAAGTGAATGCTTCCATTCAAAAAATAATTTTTGGGGGGTGCAGTGAACCAAGAGAGTAGGGCTCCCTAAGCCCCTCCTTATTCTGGGGGTCTGGGAT